CGAGTCAAAGAGAACGCCGCTCACGACCGGGGCGTCCGCACCCGAAGTGCCCTGGACCGAGCGTCACCTCGCGTCCCTGCGGAGCGAGGGCGAAGTCAGGCGGCGGCCTTCGGGGAGAGCCTCCAGCCTCCAGCCTCCATGGTTTCATCCCGAAAAAACAGGTCTTTGATTTGAATGAAGCTGACATGGAGATCCGATAGATGTATCATGGATCCACATGCCACCTTCTGAGGTACGGTGAAGTTCATCATTTCGGCAAATATAGGTATAATAACCGTGTTTCATGGGTCCATTATGAGGCTTCTGTTTGGAGTCTGTTCCGAGACCACCAAATGCCCTGCCCTGCGTCGAGGCTGATCACCCCTTTCAGAGCTTCTGGGAGGGTCCCTCACGTTTGCAGAGAAAGGGAGGTGTCAAACCATTCATGAGGGGCCCTAGACGAATCTGAGAGAGAGCGAGAGAGTTAATCTGTTGGGTCCCAATCATGAGACACTCTCAAACCTGTGATCTCCCATGAGTTTGTCCGTGCTGGCGAACTCACAAATCTCAATCCCCTTGCGACTCCTGAAGACCAGAGTTACCAAAGTATAGATGAACACCCAGTGGTATAGACTATGTGTGTCTATGGAAATGGACCGTGGAAATCCCCCCCAAAAAAAGAACACCACCGGCCCGGCCCCCCCACGTTTCTGCTTGCCTTGAGGATCGCGGGGAGAGCTGGACTCCTGAAGGTCTGAAGAAAAAACAACGAGAGGAGCAGCGCGTCGTGCGGAGCTCCCAATGAGGATGAGAATCTGAAGGCCTCAACTTCGCGATGGATGTAAGCCTCCGATTCAAAGGCAGTGAGCCCACTTCTTTCGCCCGCCGAACCTAGGACCGAGCTTTCCCCCAGCTGTTGGACCCTTGTTGGGGCCAACGCGGGTGGTTTAGGCTTCTTCATATGGGGTGCTTCATCAATCAAGTATGGATTCATATGGGGTGCTTCATCAAGAATCTACATGAATGTTCCAAGCAAGAAGCATATTGACACTGTCCCATCTATCTCCACAGCTGGTCGCTGGCTCGCCGGCCGCCCCAAAAAAAACGTTCCGTCCTCAAACTGTGATCATCCAAGGTCACCTGAAGCGCCACGTGTTTTCCCGGCCCATGAAGCGCCGCCAGGGTGGGCAGCCGAAAAAGCCGGACGAACGACCCTGAGTTTTCCGGAGGACCGTCCCTATGGTGCCAAACCACGTCCGGTTGGGTTTCAAGGAGGGTATTTCATCACTGAAGTAGAAGGCCACCGGGTTTCTCCCAGATTGAAGAGTCCCCACAAAGGCTACAGGTCACAAAGTCAGCTTCTAAGCCGTCCGCATCATGCTAGAAATCACAAGCAGCATGCCCTGCCATGGTGGATCAAAACAAAGGCTTAGACTTAATAAAGGAAAATGGTTGTCAAATTAAAATGGAAATTCCATCCAAGCATCTGGGCTACATCTAAATATATACACCTTACACTGCCTTACACCTGTGCCGCACAGGGCCGCTCCACCATCTTGCGGATCATGACATCGCACTCCGTCTTCAAGCACTTTCACCATCTTTCACCATCAAGATCTTTGGAGATCCATGGTGTCCGTGACGGAAAACCATATGCTTTGAACCATGGAGTACAGTAAGTACTCCAGTACTCCACCATGGGTGCCGGAGGTTCCCTCCCTCTTCAAACTCTCTCACCTCCCTGGCGGTCGTTGTGTCCTGATTTCACGGGACGATGATCGCTTCGGTCCCGCCTGGACCAGGTCCAAGTCCCCCGGACGGGAGTCCTCAACGATCGGAGGTCGGTCCGGGAGGGTCAAGGGACATGATCGAAACGGCGTGCTTTTTCTGAGAAATGAACTGGTTGGTGGGGGGTTCGCTACTGAAAGAAATTGGGATAGATGTATAATATATTGTTTTTTACAGAAATGAAGTCATTATATATGTCAGAAATGAAGTGATAGTGGAGCTTGATACTGAAATGAAAGTAACTTGGATATAGTTATTGAAGAAATGATGTGATGGTCGGGTCAGGTCTGATACTTTTTCTGCGCTTCCAAGAATTCCTGGCCCACTGGCCCACCGAGTCGTTCAGATGTCGTCTCTGCCCCTGCAAGCGACCTTGCAACCCGATTCACGAGCTGCGGAAGCTATGTGGGAACCTACTGGCAAACCCAACAGTGCTAAAGGTCCAAGATGTTAAAGAGCAGTGTTGACACAGCGTGGCTGTGTTTCCCCCAGGCAGGGCATCCCAGTGAGCGAAGAGCGCCAAGCTTTTGTTGCAACAAGAAGCTGGAGACTGCTTTTGCTATATGTGGTCTTTGGGAAATCACTGGAAGTTGACCGCCCGACTCTCAATGTAGGTATTGGCCAAGAGTCAAGCATGGAAGTGATTCAAGAAGCACTCTTGCAAGAACTATACAGTAGGGGGTATGAAGTCCATTCTCCAAGGCAAGCTCACAAACATTCCTGTTGCTAGTCAGGACATGGTTGTACCTTGGTCTATACATACGATTCTTTACCGCAAATTAAAGTGTTGACACTCTCACCAGTTGCAGCACACTCGCATACATCCAGAGCATGAGCATGAGCAAACCGTCCCCGGCTTCGCCCGTGTCAATCCCATTCCCCACACTTCCAAGTACCTCCTCAGAAGGTATTTGGACCCTCTAAACCCACCCCAAACACCTCAGAAGGTACGACTGGAGGCCTGGGGATCAAGCCTGGCTTCGGTCTGTCCAAGACGCACACCACCGTCCTTCTCCGCACAGACCGGACCCACGGAACCGCGAACCGGCCGTCGCGCCGTCGCGGCCCGGTCCGGTCGAACGCTTCCCACGCCTTTGCCGAAACTTCTCCATTTCGGCAAAACTGGTTGGACTCGATAGAGAGAGAGAGAGAGCGAGCCCCGTTCGCCGAAACGGATCCCAAAACCGGTGGAAACCCCAAGCCGTCCCCGCTGCCCCGCTGCCCCAACCAAACATGTGTCACACGAAAACCAGCCGGTGAAACGCTCAAACGGCTCCTGCGTTCGATCCTCACAGGCGGCGCACGGGGCACAAACCTGGCGCCTCGACAGTGACCGAAGAGAGCTCGGGGGAAGGATCGACCGCAGGGGTGGAAGTCATCCGGGAGAAACACCGATGAAACAGAGAGAGAGAGAGAGAGTGAGTCTCACTGGATTTTGAACGAAGAAAGGCATGTGAAACCGTGAAACCCAATCCGTTGGGGGGTGGGTTAGGCTTTCGCTCTTTCCATGGGGAGTGAGGTGGAAATCAATGGAAACCGATTTCACCAAAAAATGGTGACGTGGGGACCGTGGTGACTTTTCCTGGGGCTTGGGCCTGGGATATACAGTATATCATACATTTGTACATGTGCTTTGATATGACTAGACATGCCCTACCAGGATCTTTTACCCAGTCTGTGAGAGCCGCCTGGTGGTACATGTTCTTCTACAATAGGGGTGACTTGGAGATACAAAAAGCTGAGGACAGGCTTTTCTTGGCAAGTTTGATGGCTTAGGCTTAGGCTCTGAGACAGCTAGCTAGCTTAAAGTTGCATTAACCCAGGCTCACATAGCTATATACTTAAAATATATTGGTGTGCTTGCTGCATTGCTAAATACCACTCTACAACTCTTTCACTGTGGATGGTGGAGAACAGTCTTTCAGCGGCCCATGTTGAGGTTTTATTCCAGGTTTCAGTCTTCAATTCAAAATGAAGTCGAAGTGTCTCAGTTTTGTTGCAAGGCTCTTTGAAGAAGTGACACAAAGTGCTGCACAACTGAGGTGGTGCTTCCGTCTGCACATCCGGTTTCAAGATCTCTAAAAGCAAGTTCAGTGACTGGATTTCCACCCATCTAGGTGTATTAGACTAGGGAGATCTATACAAAGCGGCAGATGGTCTCCTTCTCTTCTGATGCAAACCCACCTACAGTAATAATGACCCGAATGGGTCAATTTCCCAAAAAAAATGCCGTGCGAAAAAGAAAGTTCGGGCCTAGTAGGAGTATAAATATAAGGAGCATGCACCTTCCTTGTTGAGGGGTAGACCCTCCTGCAGCCAACTTGAGGGGTTTTTGACCCTCACCCAGCCGCATTCAGAGTCCAAGACGCATTATGACTCCGTGTCCGACTGATCGGAACGAGGCATGGACAGTGCCCAGCGACAGAAGATGGGAAGATGGTCTGTTTGTTTTGAGCTGTTGACTGGAACTATGAAGAGTCCAAACAAGACTTGGGAGACTTAATAGTCGTGTTTAAAAGTTTAAAAGTGAGGAAAAAAGAATCCGGTTTAGGCAGTTTCATCATGATAGCAAGAACCCCGGCTTGGAGGGGGTTGGCAAGTGTGGAATTTGATTTAAACTCCTACATCAAGGTAGAGCTAAAGCATTGACTGCAAGAGCTCATAAAGTCATCAGTCACAATGTCTTGAATATGTTGACAACAAACACTCATTGAGCTATAGCCTGATCAATCTAAGTGGAAGCTCTCTTGGCCTCTCTAGCGTTCATGATTTCTCCTGAGCCCAGCTCTTCCTTCGGACAGGTCGCAGCTCTTTTCAACTTGTCGCCTGCAAAATTAGGATGTACTGAAATTGTCAGCCCCACGTTGAGCCTAGAAGTCTTAGAAGAAGCCTCCAAAAGATTGAGGATGTTTATAATTGTATACGATCTTTGACACTGATCCAAACAGCTGTCGAAGTGTTTCATTAAAACTGAAACATGGAGACCCATCAAATCCATTCCCAGCCATTCCTATGACTTCTCCTCCCACACTTTCCTGTGCTTCAATCCTCCACTGATCACCACCGAACACCGCCCAGAAGACAGCAGGCCGCCCAAACGAGGAGAAAACGTCCGACCCAAGTCTTACACGACGCCCGTCGTCTCTTTTTTGTGCAAACCGACGTGTTCGTCACGCCTCTCCGCTCCGCTCTTTGGCTCAAGATCCCTCTTCCGCTCCGTCGACACTCCTCACTCAGAGGTCCGCGATGGTCACCTCCTCGGCATCGCTTTTGGGGCGGTGCTTTTGGGACACTGGAGCTTTTGAGCGTGCGAACTGGACGTGTGACACTTGGGAAGCAGATTGTCAAGCTTAGTAAAAGGTCGCTTCATGTCACTTTTCAGCAAAGCACAGCAAAGCCACTTCCCTTCTGACTGAGGATTCCATTTCAGCGAATCTGCGATTGTTCTGGATTCTCACCACACAACCCACCAGCGCCTGGTGGATGTGTTCTGCGGTTCCGCAGACTCCAACGCTTGGCAGAGCAACTTTTTTGAGAAGCGTTAAACAAAGTCACGTGATGACGACCCATGGTCCGGGTGCTTTAGGGACACCCCGAATCACCTCAAGCAGGCGGCTATCAATAGACACCCCAGGTGGTCCGGGGGGGGCCCTGGTGGTGAATTGTTCCCAAAACCTTCGTCCCAAAAAGCTGCCGAACCTGTTTCGGGGTTTGGAAGAAATTCTACCGAACAGTGCATCTTCAACTCAGTGGGTTGAGACTCAGTGGGACACTTTCACTCGAAGATGGCAGATCTTCCCAGCTAAAGCATGGTCGAACGCCTTCGAACGCCCCAAAGCACGGTCGAACGCCCACTTCCTCTCAGCTTAAGCCTCCAGCGATTTCCCAAGTACCCACGGTCTGGCTTTCGGCGAGGGCGTGCCCACGACCGGGTGCCACGACCGGGTTCCCGAGCCACTTCGACACCAGGCCTCAAGCAACAAAGGTGACCTAGAACCCTATAGCTATAGATTATCCCAGGGTACCCCAGGTGACGGGCTCCTAGAAAATGGTCACTGGCTACCTCTCTTGGGCTGAGGAGGCTGAGGATTCATCCTTCGCTGACTGCTCGACCCTACCGACCCTGGTGGGTTTGGAAGATCCAGCGGGGGGCGGTTTCTGCCGTTTCCGTGTGACACTCAGATGCGCGAAGCCCGCCGCTTGAAGTGGGCCGGCTTAAGCCCAATGGAGAAGGAGGCTGCGTGGAATTCGCTAAGTTCAGATCCTGCAGATGAGTTTGGATCCCATAGATTCTTCTCGGATTCCCGGGTTCTACACGACTTAAACCCTTGTGCTTTTGGGAATGAGTCATGAGTTAGGAGCTGGCACCAAAGGTTGGATGATGGTGGAAGGGCACCTGCACTGCTTTCCTGGTTGAGTCATAACACCTCGACAAGAAGGAGCCAACGGGCCCAGGAACCCGATGAAAGGTGCGTCACTCCACTAAAGAAATATCACATGATATCACCAATCGCATCCAATCGCGATTATGTTGGGTATGTTGCCCCAATCATACTCTTGAACCCATCAACAACATGCTCCACCACCTTGGAAACCCTCAGAGCAACCCATAAAACATCGGTCTTTGCAATGCCTTTTCTGGAAAAAAACAGAAAAAAAACAAAAGAAACACCAAGAAATGCAGTGTTCTTCCCAAACCAATGCACCTTTAGAGCGAAGAAGGGGTCGAACCAATGGGTCGTGTGCACTTCTTGGACGAAGCACCGAGATCTTGGACCCAATTCCGCGCTTTGGGGCTCCGAGGGGCTCGATGGAGATGGAGGTAATCTGCTTCACCACCTGGGCGCCCCATGCGGCGCCATCCCGCACCATGCGACGGTGCGGAAACCGCACGATGCCGGCGGTTCCGCGAAAACCGGCGCCTGAGCGGAGTGATCGAAGCCCTCAACCATGGCTTGGATTGGTAGATTTTAGTTAGGATTCCTCCGCTCTATAAGACTCTTTCCCTTACGTAGATGCTTGGGTCACAGCCTTCAACCGCAAAGAGCACCAACCTTCACCTCCCCCTTCACCAACCTTCCTGTATCTCTGTTCCCCAAAACTCTCTCGCCTTAGATGCACCCCTGCACCGGGTGTCCACCGCTTCTTTGGGCCGCCCGCTGGCGCGTCGCGCGTCCGCTCGGTCCCCTGGCATCGGAGGGAGAGTGCAAGTCGATGAGCCTCTTGTGGATACGCATCTCCCAACGGTCGAAGGTGTTGGTACCTCGGTCGAAGGTCCCAGCCTCTTCCACCAGCCGGGGCACCCGGGGCACGCACCCGGTTCACCCAGAACGGTGGGGTTGGATGCGCTGGGTGGGGATGGTTTTCCATGGGAACAGGCTCCGTTGGTCTGTGACAGAATTGATCATGATTACTAATATGTTACTGCAATGGGTGCTCATTTTGTGCAGGAGTACTTTGGGCGGAGCCTTTCACTTGAGGTGCAGATGCTTTGTCACAAGCATCCGCACTCCACCATCATCTTCCAGCCTCCAGTCACACCAAACTAAACCGTCCCTTCTACCCCGGCCACCGCGCCTTCTCCGCACGGCGACTTCCGAACCATCAAACGCAAGATCTTCGTTGGGAGACCTCCACGGCCGAGGGACGCGCCGTTCGCGGCGTGGGCGACACATGAGGTGTGAGTGTCATATACCAAGACCTTCCAACAGGTTGTTGGACACTCGGACACCCCGAATCACCTCTAAGAGCCTATATATATATATATTATATATATATATTTATATTTATAGAGACGCCGGACGGAGGGTGCTGGTAGAGGAAATTGAAAAGATCTATCGACGAGTCTGATGAGGTCTGTCTAGAACCGGCATCAAAACCTCCGTTCAATTTGCAACGGCAAGTCTGACTCATTTGCGACACCAAACTGCACCTAGATCGGACTCATTTGCGACACCAAATCTGACTCATTGGCAAGACGGTTGAGGTTTTAGGGTTTTAGGGTCTAGGGCTCAAGTGATGCGCCTCGACCCAAGGGTCGCGGTGCGCCGAGAACATAGCTGGACTCTTCAACCCGCCCCAAGACCCCAAACCTGTAATCTATGATGGGCTTAGGCAACCCTGGCCGTGCATTTTTCTTCTTGAGCGGTGGGCAAATAGAACAATTTTTTGGATCGTGATGGCTGATGGATTATTGACGCGCTTTGGGCAAGTTTATGATTTGTTTACGCCCTGAGGTGGCTATGCAACGAGGCAAACCGTTTGAAGCCAAATGGCTCTTCAAGGCAATACGCCCGGCGGAGCCACACATCGAGAAGCGCAGAGAGATGCGGTCTTCGAGTTCGTAGACCAGCTGGTCGATGTCTTGGACCACGAGCCGGTCGCAGCGTAGCGAGGCGGTCACGCCAGCGAACGTTGCCTCTACCTGTTGCAACCACATGGTGCACAAGGCGGACGGCTGTAGATGCAGCCTCGATGCCGCCGCGCACGTCACGGAGGAACGCCGCGCACGCCACAACGTAGCGTGTATATAGCTGCATGGCCGCGGCATAACCGGCATCACGTGCATTATGGGCGTGTTGATATAGCCCAGCATGTTGGTATGCACGCGCCTGTTCATTGGATATGTCGTTACTGTAACAAGGGCACATAAAGAATCAAAGAAAGTCTTAAAAGCAAAAAGGGTCTGCAGAAGGCAACTTTAAAGGTAAATGGTTTGATTATACAGAAGACCATTTTGAACGCAGAATGGTCTGCCGGACATCGTCTTTATATAATGCGAAATTGTCTACACAAGACCGTTTCAGGGGTGCTTCAAATGAATATATGCAGAAGAACGCTTGTCTACAGAAGGCCGCTTCAAAGGCAAAATGGCTTATGAAAGACCGTTCCGAAGGCAAAGTTGCCTAAAGAAAGCCGCCTTAAAAGGCAAAATGACTCACAGAATGCCACTTCAAAGGCAACAAAGTCTACAGAGACTGCTTTAAAGGAAAAATTGTTTATAGAAGGCCTTCTTAAAGGCGAAATTGTGGTACCAAGAAGTTAAGGCTTCACAAGGCCTGCCGGGTCCAGACCTTGGGTTTTAGGGCATTACAATACCATACATTTAAAGTACAATAACTTAAGTGCAGTCTGCGCTATGCACCCTTTATGTGAGGATATAAATGCGGGACAGAGCACAAAGCTAACTCTTTGTGCTCACCTTGTCAGGCTCCTTCATCTAAATCCTTTTAGATGCTTGGCGCTCAGCGTGCTAGCGCTCACGATGTTCAGAGCTCCTAAGTGTCGCCAACAACATCGGCGGAAGCTGTGTCCTTTGGCGTTCACCCGAGCACCGCAGGCGTTCGCAGCGCCGCGCGGTTCACCCGAGCACCACACGAATGGGGCCAGCCACCTTCAAGTCCTTCGCATGTGTTGATCGCGACAAACGTTGGACGATGGAGCCGAGTGTCTGGACCGACCTTCACTTCCACAGCTGTAGGGGATGTCAGCAGTGCAACGAGGATGAACCAAGGTGAACCAGGAAGGTCCTTGCTGAAACCTCAAAAAGCCGATGTCCTTGCTGAAACCTCTCCTAGCGAAAAACACGATGCTTCCACGTCTCAAAAAGCGTTTGTTCGGCCGGATGGTTCGACCGAATTTCGTTGGTTCGACCCAGCAAAAGGAGCAGAATGACCTCCGATGTCAAGCGGTTGGCTACGGAGTTGAGTGTTGACCCATGTGACGCCAACAAATCCCCCGCTAGTCTCATGCAACCACCTCCTCACCACGAGATAGGTGTGCTGGAGATGACCCAAGATGTCATGTTCACTTGGAGCTGTCAGTGCTGTTGGATGGATGTAAGTCTTCCTGCATCACATGAAATAGGACGGAATGGGTGTGCACAATACCACAATACCTTTTTCTGCATTGAACCATTCACGTTCATTTGGGAGGGTTATGCAAGAATTATAGCTCCAGTTGAGTCTGGTCCTGCCATAGCAAGCAAATGTCTGGATGCTGTCCGATCAGACTCCAATGGTCATCAAATGCTCCAGAGAAACATCTTGCACATGTTCTGCCTTCACCATGGTTCACCCATCTTGAGACGAATGGCTCAGTGGCCAACCTCCTGCCCCGCTAAGGCCCCGCCCCAGAACCCAAGTTTATGGCAAATTCACTTCCACAAAGAAGATTGAACCATCCATTCTCCCCTACAACATTGCACCTGGTGACCTATCGGATAATCTCGGATCCACTGGACAAAGACATCTTCTGCTTCTCCTTGGCCTTGGCTCCTGTCACCAGGTCACAGCAGACCTTCTCAAGAGCTCGCACCTGCCAGGTCCGGTCCGCGCTGTGCCCGAAAGGCTTTGGCAAGCCCTGCGGTGCCCGAACACGGGAAAAACACATAGAAGGCTGACCCTATACAAGTGATGTCACTGATGTCTACTAGGCTCTAGTTGTTCAAGTAGACACCAGAACCGAGGCGTTAATGATTTAAAAAAGCGGCTTCCCCAAGTTCATCACCTTCCAAGTTCATGTTCTGGTGTACCAAAACAGGCTTCGCGCGAATGGGATCTCGGGGGCCATGGTTCAGTGGGTTCCGGATCTCGGGCGGGTCCATCCGAGAGCCCCGGCATCTCGGCTGCTCAGGGTGATCCTGATCCGATGGAGGCCTCGACCGCTGCCAGGTCGGACCCGACCTTTTGAGGGCCCAACCACCCTCAACTAAAGACCTGTTGGAGGATACTGGTATACTGTCTTACTATACATATATAGATATAGATATAGATATAGATATATATATATATGTTTATTTATTTTTTTGTTAACATCACTGTATTGTAACTTAGTCAATCCTTTCCCAAACATTCCATTGGACATCATGGGACGGAAGGTTATGCCCACCCCAAGAGTCCTAGAGAGACCTGATCTACACTCCATCAAGTGACCCTCTCTGGGTAAAATCACCTTTTCAACAGAAAGAAGTAATAAAAAAAGCCCTTTTCAACCACTTCACCTGATCGGTCAATGTGTCAGTTCCGGTCCTGTCGAACATGCCACCGCGCGGTGCGGGAACCGCTCCGCTCGCAAAACGAGAACGTCGGGGTCGGACGGGTGGAGATCGAATCGGGGTCACCTGACCGTGTCGAAACGACTGGGTTGGGTGAAAATGAAAACAGAAAACGACGAGGACCGAAGAAGGTGGGAGGGGCCATTGGGTGCTAAGAATGATCCCAACTAAAGGTTGAACATCAAAATATCTGAGGCCCCACCCAGGCCATGCGAGTTGTGGGACCTTCGAGCAGTGAAACCCCGAAATCGGCCACACTTGGGTCTCCCACCCTGGCCTTTTTCGCTCTGCCCAAACGGGGGGTGTTGCAAATGGGGGTGTTACATGTGCTGTGGTGATTTTCACGAGGTTGTAGTATCACCAGCCTATGTTGTACCGGGGTGGTCAATATACAGCTGGGGGTTCACTAGATGACGAGCCCGTCACATGCAACCTGAAAACATGTGAAAACACCCTGGTGAAGGTTTTCCAGGAGCCAGGCCATCCCCTTCCATGTGACCATGTGTCCATGTGATGTCCCAACAATTTCAAACTCTATCTATCAGTATACTTTCATGACGTAATCCGGCACTTCCGCTTCATCTCTCAACACTCATAAAAATATGTATTCTTCAAACCTGGCAAATGGATCACATTGCTTGTTCTTCATGAACAGCAGGACGTTTACTCCCAGCTGAAGTCCCAGCCTCCCCAAACTCCCCAACCCAATTCGGACTCCTCCGGCCCCGAGCGGGCACCCGCGCGCTGCTCCTCGGACTCCAGGGACTTCACGGGCTTGGTCCTTGGCGGAGTCCGCGGAGCCGTTGAAGAGTTGAAATACATCGCCGGATGTGACGAAGCTGCTGAGAGCTGGTGGGGTTGTTGGGAGTTCTGAAGCTGTCCTGGTTGGCGCTGGTCGTTTTGGGAACGGGTTTTTTCGGTAGGGGGGGAAGTCACTGGATTTCGCCCGTCTCTCGTTCTCTTCCCCAAAGCGGAAGAGGAACGGAAAACTCTCATACTTCGTCATACTCCGGTCTCCTCGGGCTCCACGTTCCTCGTCCTGGTACGGTCTGTTCCGGGCACCCCGGCGCCATGGAGCTCTGAGCGGCGCTGCGCGGAGCCCGGGAAATCGAGGTCTTTTGGAGCCCGGGAGCGGAGCAGAGCAGAGCAGAGGGTCCGGGAGTGGCACTTGTCTTCAAAATCTGTTTCAATGAGGATGAATGAATACGGAATTGTTAGAAAATATGGATGCTTTTAGTGATAATAGAGGTCCTTCCTCTTGATTCTGGACCTCTATCATCCTCTATTTCAATACTGAGCTGGAAAAGCAGGAAGCATGTCGCACACTGACTGTCCTAGAGTGTGTGACTTAGTGGGGGCAGGCTACAAGTTCACTCGCATCAAGTCTCTATATAAAACTCAAATCTCTAAAGAATTCTAAAGATCTCTTTGCCTAGACCCGAGCTGAATCTGGATGAAGCCTCCTTAGCATCTGCTAGCATAGCATCCCGAAGGATCCCAGTATGTTGAGGCCGGCTCCACCAAAGGGACCTGCAGACTGGATCCAGTTGAATGCCTCAGCGTCAGCACTGGCTGACCCTGTCCCCGACTCCACGAGTTCCAAGGCCCAAGCCACAGCATGCTGCTTTTTTCTCCCCACGTTCTTTTTCATGCATCAAGCCACGCTATTAGGTTGGAGCCCATCGCTATTAGGTTGGAGGCCATTGCTGCTAGTAACAAGAAGCATCCATCCATCCCATTTGCGGGTCAGTCCATCGCGCAGCTCAGGAAGCCTCCGCACCTCGTGCACGGTGGACGGCAAATGCCGGCTGGTGCCACCCGGAGAGTCATACCCCATGGAAAAAGATAATGTCATGGTCTTTCCTGTTTGCCAACTTTAAGCCCCTATAACGTTTGCCAAGGGTAGAGTAGCTCTGTGAGTCACGTGTTTAAAGACTATACACATGTAAGCCCCCCAGGGCGCATGCTGCGTTCGAAAACGCTTTCCAAAACGTGCTGCGTGCTGACTTACTTCTGTTGCCGTTGCTGTATAGAAAACACTCAGGTCCCGGTAGATCACTGACGCGGCCTATCCCTTGGTGCATCGCTTTCTCCGCTTTTGGGCACAAAAGAGAACGCTGCCAAACGGAGATAGACGGTCGCAGGTGGTCCGCTCCCACACCCAAAAAGGGAACCGCGGAGGAGGACGTTGGAAAGCCGGAAAAACGGACCGTCCAACGCCGTGGTCGGGTCTTCGGGCACCTTCCATGACGTTGAAAAAGATCCCAAGAGAACCCTGAAAACTCTCAATTCCTAGGTGTCTCTTCATCTCAGGGGTTTAAGAACTCAATTCTTAGACATCTCTTGGAATTCTTCAACGGCACAAAAGCGAAGATGTTGCCCGTCCTTTAGGTTTGAAGCTCAGGTCCTGGAAATTTATCAAGAGTACGCTCAGACCATTTCAGGTATCACCCGGCTGGACCACCCATCGTTGGATTTGAAGCTGCTAGACGGCGAGAAAGAGAGAAACACGTGCTAGAAATCCGTTCCCCCAGCTCACATCGAGACAATCCGGGGCGAGCTCAAAATTATGTATTGGTTTCAACCATACCTAGAGACTCCAAATGCACCAAAAATTCTGCCAACAGGGTACAATGGTGCCTCGGCGAAAATTTCTGCCAACGGTTCCTCTAGGTCTCTAGGTGTATGAAACTTGCCAAAAAAAACCTGGTCTTGTGCTGCTGCTGGTGTGTCGCCTGTCCTATTTTTTCTCGTCTTCACGACCATCGAATGAAGGCCCCAAGTCAATCTCGGTGACTGAAATGGGCATCCAACGACCAGGGCGATTCGTGAAGCCCCCCCGCGCCACGCCACAAGTAGAAGCAAATCACGAATGCCGTACGGATGTACGTTCATGTACGGATGTACGTACCAAACAAACTGGGCATCAAACGGGCAAAGAATCCAAATCTACCTGCGGTACACTGCTGGAGGATCGCCTGGATCCCAAAACAACATGGATTGAGGTTCCACTCATCCTCCAGGGTTCCACGTGACTCACAGAGCCACTCTACCCTCCACTTGTCACGTGTGATCACATTATATATATATATGAAACATGAGGGGAACTCACAGAGTAGGTGTGACGACTCTTTCTTTTTCGACCACGAATGAAACGAGTCTCACATTCAGACACTAGACCTGCCACGCTTCAAGAGACATGGACCGGTAAACACAGTGCTATGAAATAACACTGGGTTGAAGTCGTGGTACAAACACACAGACCAGCTTGGTAAGTCATCTTTGATGAACTTATCATACCACCCACTGTCAACAATATCACCCACTGTCCATGTACTCTAGAAAACGAGGGAGGTGTGAAGGTCGAAACACGTACCGGAGCTCAGACGGGTAGTCCACCTCAGACACCTCCCACAATTGAGCGTTAGTCCAGGGGTCATCAGTACCAAGTCTGGATAGACCATCAGACGGATTGCTCTCCGAGTCAATCCACTCCAGCCAAACTCGAATTTGAAATCTCTGAAATAGAAAATGCGCAACTTGGACCAAAGTGTGTACGTCGGTTTGAGTGCTACTGCCTCGAATGAGGGATGCCACTGCGGCTTCGTTGTCGATAAACCACAGGACGTCACAATTCTGTAAAGCAGAGCCATGAAACCAGGGCACTAACAAGCCACACAGAGTTTCACCCGGGTAGATCTGTTGTGCACGGTCTTCCCAGGTAAGGACAACCTCATGGGGGACAACACAGGTCACCCCCTGGGGTTGGGCCGACGACCCAAAGATCACCCAACCAACGCGTAAAATGTTTTGTTCAAAAGATGCATCTGAATAAATGATGATAGGTTGGTGTGGAACCGAACCTACATCAATGTCACGGGGACCGTGGGAAGCCACTGTAGCTGCTAAAAGCTGCAGGGTAACGATGTCAGATGGGGACAGGGCTGCCGAGTCGGCTCGCTGGAGAGCGGTCAGGACTGGGCCTGCGACGCGCCCTGCCTGTCCGGAACACATGCTGAACATCCAGTTAAGGTCTCCCCGGAGCTTGCCTGCATCATCAGGTGAAAGTTGGCCCGCTGCCAATGCACCCTGAAGTTTGGCAAGCACCTTGCGTTGGGTGGAAAATTTCGGTTGGAAACGGATAAACCCCTCCTCGACAAAGTCCCCTACGTGCACGGAGGTTCCAAGGTAATGTCGGTTACGCCCAGGTGCAAACGATTTAGGGGCTTGCGGAGGGGCCCCCATAAGTTGAAACACCAATTGGAGTCCACGCTGTGAGACATCCGCATTGTGAACAAAGTCAACAGCCAGCTCATCATCAAAGTAAGCGGCACAGAAAGACAGTGTACAGCGACGCGCAATGGCGATACCCAACTGGGGGAAACGATTAAAGTTCACAACTGCGCTCTCCAATCCATAGGCTAGGCCGTAGAGGGTGGTGAACCTCCAACCCACCTCAGGCACAAACACTGCTACATTAGAGAACCGCAGGTGATCATCCTGGACAGGCAAGCCTCTATATGCGTCGGGTAGATCATCAGTGCCGAGCCTCAAATCCAACCACTCCAAAGGAGCATCCGAGGAAAAGTCCAACGTAGAGTTGACCATACGTGCCACTGAAGCTACGAAGTCCACATTAACTGTAGAAATGGTTTCCTGCATGGCGGTATGGGTGTTATGCCCACTTTTGCGGGCATTATCAATGACCCGCTATTTCCCATCAGGTTGGACAATCAAAAACCGTTCCACAGCACGCCAACCACCCACACCGAACTGATCATTGACTTCCTGCATCGTGCGCAGTGGGCTACAGAAGCCTTTGGCAATTTCATCGTGTAACGGCCAAAATTTCGGGGGCATACAAAGGTGGTCGGCTACGTACCAGTCTCAACACATCCGCCTCGGCGGGAGGGCCCAGCCACTCAGACAAGGGGAGTTTATCGGACTGTTGGATACTTCTAAACACACCCGATGGGGGAAGGGAACCGACGATGGCGAAACCCCGAACGAGTTGCCTCGCTAATTCCCTATCCGGCCAATGGAGTAGCCATGCCATAGTAGCCACAAAAGCAGGCTTCTTAGAGTGCACTACTTTGTGGGCACTAGCACACCTGACTGCTGCAAGGTAAGGTTCCAGCGGCTGCACAGCTTTTTCTACAGCTTTGAGTGTATGCCGCAGCCTTTGGCTGTATGACGGAAGGAATTGCCGCCAAGCGCTCAAGGCCTCCACGACGAAGAGAACATCCGGCTCAGGCCAATCTTGAGGGTAGAACGGTGACCGAAGGAGCTGTGATTGCCTGATGTGTTCATCTTTGCCCACCCCAGGGGGCAGAAGATGATCGAGGCCCTTAGCCGACGAACTGGGGTAGCGCTGCCCGGTCAAGCCCGCAAAGATGGCAGTGCGAAGGCGGCCCCAAATAGGCACTGGGCCCAACTGTTCGAAGGGCTCCTGACGAAGCCTCCGCCACATCGGATAAGCCTGGAGGCTGCGCAAGTCACATGCTTCCAAGCGGGCTTGGACTCGGCGGACTCGGGTCCAGGCGTGCTCCGTGACATTGGCAAACTCGAACTGCTGTCGAAGGTCTTGGCAAAGATCAGCAGCTGACCAGAGGCCTGGCATAGCCTGCAGGCGCCCCAGTTCCCAGACCGTGTGGCGCAGCCGTTCCTGCAGGTGCTGCTCCGCTGTATCAGGCAAAGTCATCATCATCTTGGCCTCCAGGATGCTGGGGAGCATAGCCAGGAGTGCCACCACACTGGGGATATGGAACCCATTGCCAATGAAGGAGTTCTGAGTCTGCACCCGCTTCACTTGCCCCCCTCGAGCTGGAGCAACCACTGCCGGCGGGAGGCACATGATCTGGCACCGTTCAACCGGGGAAGGCTGCCTCCATTGATGCCCTGCCCAAAGTAGCGAGTGCTCTTCATAAGCTCCAGGCGGAAATCGTCGACAATCAGCATGGAAGCGCTCGGCAGCAGCTGGGCTCACCTTGGGAACCCTGTCCACGGGGTGAGAAAATTCCCGAGTGAAGGTATGCATAGCTCCCTTGCCCTCATTCTGCATAACCACTTGTGG